GCTAATATGAGAGAACTACCTTAAAAAAAGGAATGGCTCTCAGACCACTCACAATGATAGAACCAATGTAATGAAATAAAGTAGTAAGCCCACAGTCTTTGTAATTCAATTTTTTAAAACAGATCACAAACATGTTCACTGAAGAAAGTTTCACATAGAATGGCTGGAAAAATGAGACACTTTCACCAAATCAATTACAAGTAAAATGTTTTATCTAACGGTGAATTCAATTTCTAGACATATTTACATCTTAATTATAGAGATAAATTATGCAACACCTTCTAAAATATATATTAAGTTATCAAAATTTGCAAATACCTGCTAGGAGATATCAAATTGGGCAAGTACTTTACCTGTTATTTGAAATGATTCGGTATAAACTTAAATAACAGACTATTTTTGTTGACACCGTTAGTATAATCAATGGGTACCAATTAAAAACTACATACAAGTACTAGCATATATCAATATACCTGTAAATAGTTATTTTTAATTGGTTAGCAATGGACGCATGTTGTACGTAGAATCCCACCATTTCAGTACTGAATCTGAACTTGGTTGTTGCACTGCTATGTATAATCATCACGCGTCAAATTTTATAAATCCAACAATGTCACACAGTGTATCACATAAACCACAGTTTAGCAAGGTATATAACAACGATAAAGCAATGAACTACTCACTTCTGTAGGAAATGTTCTCGGGAATACAGATGTATCATAAACCCAGTCCTTGCACGGCAACACACTACCATTTCCGGAATCATTTCCACTACGCCACAGACATCCCTCATACTCCCCATTCCCGTCTACAGGAATGGTTTGGTTGATAAGATATTGGTGCCAGGTACCCTGGATTTCAAAGGTGTCATTTGCCAAGTCTGGAATGGCACACCTAAAAAAATGAATTGTTAAATATATCACAAGTGTTATAAAATGCGTATCCTGGACGTTATCATTTTTTTATATAGTATGTTGAGATAAAACAAATCCCATAATAAGTCATAAACTAAAGTATTGGCTATGTTTGCAATGTTAAGTTGAAACGATGCATTTGCAAACGATGACAAAACCATGCAATGCGTCGAAACAATTCGAATTGACTGTAAACAACCCTAACATTTCTAGTCGAAACGGAGACCTCCCCATCCTATGTTGGCATCTCATGTGGGCCCGATTTTAATATCAACAAAAAAGCATTCTTGACAGCTTGGGGATCATTTAATATACGATAATGATACGATTATGAATTTATCGGCAATTATATGCTGCGCTTAGCGTCAAAAATCTTCACAGGAGGTGGCCTTTGAATTGCATCGATAAACCCTATCGCAAAGATCAATTTTGTGTAAACAAATTTTGCAGATAGAACTAGCAGTGTGAATCGCACAGCTGAAGAAATTTTTACCCACGGAATGATACGTCCCATCATCGATTCCCACTTCTATTCCCCTAATAAAATTTTATAGGCATTAATTTCATGGAAAACGTTAATAAAAAGAACCCTGTACATGGGAAATATATAGTAGATATATTCATAATTGTAAGACAAGAGAACAGGGGACTTGTTCTTTGAGAATATGAAAACGCTCAACTAATACCAGTGCCATTTGACACTTATTTTACCTATGCGCCGGTAATTGCTGCATAAAAACTGTTACCATCATTTGCATGGCTGTCGACATGGTCACTAGACCACTAAATATTGTCGTCCGAAGCTGAATCCTCCCAAACTCTCCAATGCGTCGGATCACATCATCGAATTCCATCACTAGCAGTCTGCCTGCTGTTTAATCCTTGTATGTCGTCGTTACAGCCGCGATTAAGAACTTGACACTGGTCGTTGCACTTCCGATGTCATTCCCGCATATCAGATAAAAAAACGAGATTTACATAAGATTATGGATTGGTGTCCGTTTATTTCCTATGCAATTTTTAAACAGCCAAAGAGCAATTTAATAAATTTCGTACAAGGTGATTCATAAATCTGCTATAGAACATTAGGCAAAACACATGAACAAAATCCTAACTTTGCATTGTAAAGTGTACAAAGACCATAAATGAAACTCAGGACTTCCAATAAAGTGCAAGTGGTGGAAAAAAACATTATACTGTCGTAAAGGTTTTATTTTTTTACTGTGTGTCCCCCTATATCTCTTTCTAGATCTAGGGCCGTTAAGACACCATTAAGGACTACGTTCCTTTGCATCTTCTATAATATGTTTACATGTATCCTTTTGGCAGCATAATAGCTAAATATGAATACTAATATCGGTGGAGAGAATAATACCACTCAATGCGTTCATGAATGTGGTTAGTTCTTGTTTTTACTAATTATAGCAGTTCCTGTTGACAAAAATTATTTTGTCAATTTAGGTTACTCGTTTGCTCTGAGAGCCGTCAAGGCGTCTGCACAATAGAGAATCCTTCCATATGGAAACTGATGTCATAGTCGGACGAACTGCCCCGAACTTTGTTGGATACCACTTGGGTACCTGTAACGCCGATTCAATTACTTCATTTAATTTCAGATTTCTACGATCTTCCTTTTCATCATTTACACTCTTTCGGGTAGACACTAGTGTAAAGTGGGGTTATATAATAAAGGCGGCCTTGTTTGTTTGTTTGTTCGTTTTAAAAAATCTCAAACAATCTATATTCTCTGTTGCCTTTTGCCTTGTTGTGAATTGGGCTATGAAAGTTAATGGTACACTGGGATGGAGGAGACATAAAGTGGCTTTAATGTGGTTTCTTATGTAATCAAGTGGCCTAGAATCAACCTCTCATTCCCGTGTTTTGGTTTTAATAGATCTGTATAAAGTGATATTAGCAGCCGAGGGTTTGATTATCTTATCCAGTAATGGTCGTATTAAAGCATATTTCACGCCGTAAAGAAATTTGTAATATGCCAAGAAAACGCTTGTTGAAAAGTGAGCTAATAATTATTGAATATCCGTAAAATGCAAGTTTGCAATTGTTGACATTCTTCTTTTTATTACGTGCAATTTTAATTTGCTACCATTCATCAGTGTAACATTTTAAAAATACCTATATAGTCCTACAATGTGCCAGGCTCAACTGACCCAAAGATACCAAACTGCTACAAAAATCAGTCCACATACGTAAAATTGTAGTCGTTGCACTTAAGAAACCATTTCAAATGTCGATGGGGCATTCTCATTTGATTCTTGGTTGATCCCATCTTTTCTCCTGAAATGTATTTATCCGTATTTAACAGCAGTGTTACATTTTTTTATAAAGTATTCTGCTATTACAATTGACTTATCGGACTGTGAGAGAAGTAGCTAAACATTTGAAATATTGTACAAATCTTCTCTGTTATATGTAGGAACAAAGATGCGTGTTGACACCACAAGTGAAGTAAGTGTGTGCTTGTATGTATGTTTGTATGTATGTGCCAATGTGCGTTTATGTGTGTGTGTGTGTGTGTGTGTGTGTGTGTGTGTGTGTGTGAGAGAGAGAGAGAGAGATGAAGAGAGAGAGAGCAACACTGGAATAGACAGCTGACAGGTGTGAAATGAGGGAAAGAGATAAGGAATTATATGACCAACCTTTTAACTCCAAAGTTTTGAGCATCTTCCAAGGTCTCTGGCAGGTGTTTGTGGGTGGTTTCAGGGAGATATAGACCACTCAAAGCACAAAACAATGCCATGCAGCCAAACAATATCAGAGGAACAGTGTTACCAAGAACTGGATGTTCTCCTAATCGGTCCTATCGATATGAGAAGGCTTGCTTTGAACGCCCAAAAATCAGACTGTCTACGATTACATTATGCATTTTATATGTGAATCAAATGAATCTATAAGCTTATGAGCTTTAAGAAAAAATTAAAGATTGGTTTGTAACTTGAAGATGAAATTTATAAATTTGTTGTCAAATTATATATAGCCTCAAATTATTAACTCGACATAAATCTATAAAACATGACGAAGAACTTGTTATGCATGACATATCAAGGTTGCGTACCATAACAACTGGTGATACAATAGCCGCAACACGACCAAATGTACATCCTAAACCTAATCCGAAATTCCGTAAGGCTGTTGGATAGAACTCGCCATTCCACATGAAAAGAAGGTTGAAGTTACCGCTGAAGCCCATCTTCCCTATAGTGTACAAAGCTGTAAAGGCGGTTCTGGTAGAAGGACTCTCTGAAACATTGAAGGGAAGAGCGCAATAACATTAATTAAGGTCACTATTTTATTTCATCTAGGTAGGTCCTACACGAACGACCCCTAGTCTGCTTTACATTACTATTCATCTAAACTGATGGAAATACAGAATTAAAAAAGGCTTCTAAAAACATGTAGTATGAGAAATCATTTAGGCCGAAGCCTTTGATTTAACACAAATCCCAAATCCCAAATACTAGTATTACCCATTATGTTTCAGATTTCGTGCTGAGTCAGTTTTAAATAATACCTCTGTCTGCAAAGAAATGAACCGGTACTGTAGTCAACATGGACAAAGCAGAGATCATCATGCCAGCACAGAATGTTTTTCTTCTTCCAAATCTGTTGATGATGAACATCGACGCCTTAGCTATGATGTCGATTACAGACAGGACAAATGCATTGATGAAGATATCTCCATCTAGGGAACCCTGATTTAATGTAAGACCGTACCACGAAATTGCGACTGTAATCCTAAAATATAACATTGCGTTAGGATCATAACTCACAAATATTTATTCTCCGAAATATGTCTTTAATTAACCAAGTAGAGTGAAATGTCACTATACATGTGGCACATGTAGGTGTTGTTGTAGCACATCATATCGCGCGTTTGACAAAGAAATTTGAGGTAACGGTTGTGTGGCCGATCCAAAATCTTTAGGATGACCGAATGACTGATTTCGCTTCACTGACAAAAATGGCTGTTTTCCCTCTATATACAGTTTAAACCATCAGCAACGTACCATTTGTTCTATTCAAAAGGCATAAAATGGTCTCATACCAGCCGCAAATTATCACTGCTGTCCTCGCCATAAGTCTTGGTGCGTGAAAAATTTTAAGTGGACTTAAAGAGGGGATTATTTGCAAAGAATGTTCATTGAATAGCTGGTCGACTTCTGGAATCGCCTTTTTATTCACTCTTGCCGCCCATTTCACTATGTCCTCAGCTTCTGCGTATCTACCCCTAGATAACAGCCAACGAGGTGACTCCGAGATTACCCTGGAAGTCAGAATACTTCCTAAAATTTCTAAAACATAAATATACATCATTCAATGCATGCATGGTTGCATGTACACATGCTTGCGTTCCAATACATTTTACATGAAACTATTAATGCATGCTCGTTTGTTTTGCTAGCATGAAAATCACAGTACGTTAAGCAAGAGATAAACAGACCTACCGCCAGAAGCCTAGGTATAAGAATGGTGGCAAGGCCACAGCCAACTGTAGATATCTCCAGTCCCGTATAAGGTAAGCCAACGGAGTTGTAAGCACCATGCCTATTCCCCAGGACATAGCTAATGTGCACACGGATACCATGCGTCTTCTTGGTGATACAAATTCCATGACTGCAAATGTGACATGTTATTGTATCATTGCCATTTCGATTAAAATAGAAGAATTGGGAATATCCTAATAGTGAATCTTTAAAAAGTTTCCATACGATAAGGGGATAAAGGTTATGACCAATAACACAGCCGTGTACATACCTACCTGTAGTTTTATACACATATCCACTTGTGAAATAGTACACTTAATTCAACGTGAAAGAGATTTTTCATGGGTGTATTTTTAGATAAAAAAGCATCTGTACACGTCATTAAACATTAAAGATATATATGTGTGTGTGTGTTCTCTCGAGAATACCTACTTAGAACCACGACCGAGCTGTTAAGAATGCCTTGACAGCTGCCAACGACGAAACGGAATGCAACATAAGTCCCGTAGTTAGGTGAGAAAGCGGCTCCCAATCCTCCGACGCCATGTATCAAACAGGCGATGAAAGATACCCACTTGCGACCAATACTGAAAACAGAATAATGAAAAAGTGTATTCCTATTATGGAGTCTAAATATACCACCAAACTTAGTGAACTATTTTAAATAAGTTCTGTGAAAACAATAAAGTGAATTATCCTCCATTAAAATATGTTTGATACCAATAAGGAAATAAACAAACTGGTAGAAAAGAAAGTTTAGCACAATTTTGAAACTAGTTCCTTTATAAAAGAAGTAAACCACCTTAGTTTTCAATATTTGATAACAGCTACCAGTAATGTTAACACAGTTTCTTCCGCGGACTTAAGTTACTGTATATGTCACTGGCATCCACAAGAGTGGTTAGATCTTTGCTAATATTTTACCGCTTTTTGTAGTCAACCAAGATTGGAATATTACTAACTGACATAAAATTTGATTTATGCTTGTTAAATGTTTTGTAAAATACGCGGGGGATGGACATCATTCTTTTTATTATGTGCATTAAAAGAACTTATCATTATTTTTTTAGGCTGGCAAACTTTTCAACAATAAAATTTCAAGATCGAAATTTAGGCTTGAATATAAAATGATAAAAAATTAAAGGAATACCCCTTTTAATTATTTTGATTTTTCGTCTGCGACAACTTTTTTTATGAAACACATATAAGCGGTTGATAAATCCCTAATGCCTAAAATACCACTTAAAAGAGATACCTGTAATATCCCGTTGATTGAGAAACAAGAGCCCGATATATCTTATGTGAGCAGAATATGTTTATATGATAATTTTTCGTCTCCAAGAGGCCATTCATAACAGTATATCTGAAGATCTACTGATTTAATTGCCAGCTCCCTGCAATGCGACCCTAAGTTTATTTGAACAATGCCATACGAGTATTAAGGCAAATATGAACTGATGTAAAAAATACAAAATACTTTAGCTGATTTCATTGAATATTGACAGCCTATATACTAAAGGAAATCACTAAACGACATGCTTACTAGTCTGCTGCTAAACCACCGACAATGGCCCCCAAGGCCACTCCTGCTAGATAGACCACGTTGACCATATTTATTAGCAAGGAACTGTCACAAAATAGGCCAAACTGAAATTACAAACAGAGATTATCCATTCATCTCAATTCAATTCAATCAGTTTCTAGTGCATGTATATTTTATGACCTTGTACATTGTATATACGGTACATAATACACCAAAACAGTTATATAGTTGTTTTAATTGGTATCGTATACAGGTACCGGTATCTAAATTCATTTTGACATAAATATGTTTTCATGGTTTAGATGGATATTTACCTTTTCAAGGGCTGAAAAACTATTATGATTTCTCACTGTATCAACACAGGTTGTTTTTCTCTTACATCTTGGGTTAAGCTTGTTGTACGTAGATTCCCATCTCAACTGTTTGAACTTGGTTTTGGCACTGTTATGCATAACAAACCCGTTCCAAATTATTTTATAGATTCGCCAGTGTCATACAGTGTGACACAAAAATCACAGCTTAGCAAGGTATATTACAACAATAAACCAATGAACTACTCACTTCTGTAGGAAATGTTCTCGGGAATACAGATGTATCATAAACCCAGTCCTTGCACGGCAACACACTACCATTCCCGGAATCATTTCCACTACGCCACAGACATCCCTCATACTTCCCATTTTCGTCTACAGGAATGGTTTGGTTGATAAGATGTTGGTGCCAGGTACCCTGGATTCCAAAGGTGTCGTTTGCCAGGCCTGGAATGGCACACCTGAAAACATGAATTGTTAATCGACCTACGATGTAAGTTTTATAGAATGTTTATCCAAGACGTTATCACCTTTTTATATAGTTTGTTGAGATATTACAAATCCCATTTGACGTCTTGAATTAAACAAATGGGTATGATTGCACTGTTAGGTTGAAAAATGAACTATTACGATATATGTTAACAATGGCAAAACAAATTGCTTTCGAGCCAATTTGAAATGTTTGAAAACAACCCTGGCGTTTCTAGTCAAGATGGAGCTCTCCCCATTTGCCTCTATGTTGGCATTTTATATTGGCCCGATTTTTAAAACATAAACAAAAGACATCTCGTGTAAATTTTGCCTTACATAACCTTTTTTCGCTATTTTTAACCTGTCTAAAGCTACAAAATCTTCACTGGAGGTAACCTATGAACTGCAACGAATATAAACCATATTTCGATGATCAATTGTGCGTAAACAAGTTTTGCAGATGGCATTGTGAATCGCACAGTTGAAGAAAATTTTTCCCAAAGAGTGATAGGTCACATCATCAATATCCACTGTTATTCCCCTAATTTTTATATTTAATTTGGTTGAAAACGTTAATAGATCAAAGCAACTATGCACAAGGAAAAATAAACATACATTAACGCCGATTTTAAGATGGATATATTCATGATTGTTAGACAAGAGAGCAAGCGACTTATTCTTTGGCAATATGAAAAGGCTCAACTAAAACCAATGCCATTTGACACTTATTTTACCTATGCGCCGGTAATTGCTGCATAAAGACGGTTACCATCATTTGCATGGCTGTCGACATTGTCACTAGACCACTAAATATTGTCGTCCGAAGCTGAATCCTCCCAAACTCTCCAACACATCGGATTACATCATCGAATTCCATCATTAGCAGTCTGCCTGCTGTTTAATCCGTGTATATCGGCGTTACGGCTGCGACGAAGTGCTTGACACTAGTTGTTGCACTTCCGATGCTATTCCCGCATATCAGATAAAATGAACTAGAGTTAAAATAGGTCATAGATAGTATATTTCATGTATAAATTTATTAGATAATATAGCTAAAGAATGATGTAATAGAGTTCATACATAAAGGAACATACTGTTTTAAAATGTTAAGCTCATTAGCCAAAATACGCACAACAACTCCAAATTCTGTATTTTAAAGTGTACTAAGACCATTAATTAACAGCTAAACATGCAATAAGTGTTTGTTACAGAAACAAAAAAAATGTCATTAAGTTTTTCACTGTGTGTATTAAATGTCAGTTTGCCACCCACTCTTATCTCGTTAGAAGTAACCGTAAAGGACTAGGCCTCTGTACACCTGCATCTTCATTGTTTACCTGTATGCTAATGCGAGCATGAGTGTTTTGACACCAACATCGATGGAAAGCATAATACCACTCAGGACATTCACGTTGAAGTGGACAACATGAAAAGGTGACTGAGTTTAAATGAAAACCAAAATCAGTGTTCCTTTTGACTCTTGATCGCTCAAAATAACTGAAAATAATTGGCCTAGCTGTGTCATATCAGTGTCATATTCATGCATATGGTAAAAAGGATAGAAAATCAAGTTGGTCGAGGTAAAAAAATTAAATACTTGATAAATGTATGGCGAGACAAATAAGACAAAATAATCAATACACATGCAGTTGCAGTTAAATTGTATAACGCAAAAAAGCTATAGTTGTAACAGAAGAGCTGTGGCGAAATAATTCTCTCTATTGCGCTACCTTTTGTGAACGACAGTAGGTCAATTAATGAAATAATTGAAATCTAGCCTCTTCTTCTTGTGTTCTGGGTTGCATAGTTCTGTATAAATAATTATAAGAGGACGAGGCATTTATTATTTCATCCAGTAATGGTCGCATTAAAGCGTATGCCTATTGTAAAGAAATTCGTAATATACCAAAGAAACGCTTGTATAAATATAAATGAATTAATCATTATCGAAAATCCGTAAAATTACACGGTTCAGTTTGTTGCCATTCTTTCTTTCATTATTTTTATTCAAAATAATAATATAGAACATATCAGGCCTCATTAGCTAAAATACTGATCCAAAGGTACAAAATTGCTACAAAACCAGTACACATCATATTGTGGTTGTCGATGGGACATACTCATTTGAGTTGTTGTTGATGCCCCTCTTCCTCCTAAAATAATCATATCCGTTTTAAGCATCGATGTTACGTTATTCTGCTATTACAATCTACTTACAAGAATGTATTAGAAGTAGCAATAGCACCTGAAATATTGAGCAAAATTATTCTCTTTTATGTACAGACAAAATGTAATAGTATTGTTTTGAAGTCTCCATAAAGTGACTGTGTAGTCGTACGCATGCGCGCGTGTATTAGTGTTTGTGTGTGTGTGTGTGTGTGTGTGTGTGAGAGAGAGAGAGAGAGAGAGAGAGATGAAACAAGAGAGAGAGGGCGAGCCAAACAATGGGAAGTGAATGAGAGAGTTATATATATAGATACAAACCGTTTAACTCCAAAGTTCTCGGCATCCTCCAAAGTCTCCGGCAGGTGTTTATGGGCTGTTTCGGGAAGATACAGACCGCTCAATGAGGAAACCATGCAATGTCATACAGCCAAACAGCATCATTGGAATAGTGTTACCGAGGTAAGGGTGTTCTCTTAGCTGGTCCTACCAAGAGTTCAAGGTTTCAATTAACGCTAGATTTCTACGATCTCCCTTTTCATTATTAACACTCTTTCGATGTAGAGAACCTCGTTCACAGTGGGGTTATATAATGAAGGCGGCCTTGTTTGTTTGTTTTTAAAAATCTCAAACAATCTATATTCCCTGTTGCAATTTGTCTTTGTTGTGAATTGGGCTATAAAAGTTGGCGGTACACTTGGATGGAGGAGGCATAAATGTGGCTTTAATGTGGTGTCTTATGTGATCAAGAGGCCTGGACTCAACCTCTCGTTCCTGTGTTTTGGTTTTGATAGATCTGTATTAAGTGATAAAAGCAGCCGAGGGTTTGATTATCTTATCCAATAATGGTCGTATTAAAGCATATGTCAGGCCGTAAAGAAATTTGTACTGTGCCAAGAAAACGCTTGTTTGTGCCAAGAAAACGCTTGCTTTGAAAAGTGAGCTAATAATTATTGAATATCCGTAAAATGCAAGTTTGCAATTATTGACATTCTTCGTTTTTCTTTTTATTACATGCAATTTTAACGTGCTTCCATTCATCAGTGTCACATTTATAAAATATCATAATACATAAGCCAACAATGTGCCAGGATCAGCTGACACAAAGATACCAAACTGCTACAAAAATCAGTCCACATCCATGAAATTGTAGTCGTTGCACTTAAGAAACCATTGCAAATGTCGATGGGGCATTCTCATTTGAGTCTTGGTTGATGCCACTTTTTCTCCTGAAATGTATTTATCCGTTTTTAACAACAATGGTACATTTTTGTTATAAAGTATTCTGCTATTACAATTGACTCATCAGATTGTGTGAGAAGTACCTAACATTTGAAATATTGTACAATTCATCTCTGTTATATGTAAGAACAAAGTTGCGAATTGACACCACAAGCGAAGTAAGTAAGTATGTATGTATGTATGTATGTATGTATGTGCGAACGTGCGTTTATGTGTGTGTGTGTGTGTTTGTGTGTGTGTGTGTGTGTGTGTGTGTGTGTGTGAGAGAGAGGGGGGGAGAGATGAAGAGAGAGAGCGACAGTGGAAGAGACAGCTGACATGTTTTAAATGAGGGAAAGAAATAAGAAGGTGTCGCCAGGTAAGTATATAACCAACCGTTTTACTCCAAAGTTTTGAGCATCTTCCAAGGTCTCTGACAGGTGTTTGTGGGCGGTTTCAGGGAGATATAGACCACTCAAAGCACAGAACAATGCCATGCAGCCAAACAATATCAGAGGAACAGTGTTACCAAGAACTGGATGTTCTCCTAATAGGTCCTATCAAAATGAGAAGGCTTGCTTTGAACGCTCAAGAATGAAATTGTCTTTTTGCATATAAAAAGTATTCCTAAGATTACATTATGCATTATTATATGTGAATCAAATGAAACTATAAGCTTATAAGCTAGTAGAAAAAATGAAAGATTGGTTTGTATTGAAGTTGAAATTTATAAATTGATTGTCAAATTATATATAGCCTCAAATTATTAACTCGATATAAATCTATAAAACGTGATGAAGAACTTGTTATGCACGACATAAAAGGGTAGCGTACCATAACAACTGGTGATACAATAGCCGCAACACGGCCAAATGTACACCCTAAACCTAATCCAAAATTCCGTAAGGCTGTTGGATAGAACTCCCCATTCCACATGAAAAGAAGGGAGAAGTTACCGCTGACGCCCAGTTTCCCTATAGTGTACAAAGCTGTAAAGGCGGTTCTGGTTTTAGGACTCTCTGAAATATTGAAGGAAAGAGCGCAATAACATTAATGAAGGTCACTATTTTCTTTCATCTAGGTAGGTCCTACACGAACGACCCCTAGTCTGCTTTACATTACTATATTCATCTAAACCGGTGGAAATACAGAATTTAAAAAAGGCGTCTAAAAACATGTGGTATGAGGATTCATTTTTGGCCGAAGCGTTTGATTTAACACAAATCCCAAGTCCCAAATACTACTATTACCTATTATATTTCAGATTTCGTGCAGAGTCAGTTTTGAATAATACCTCTGTCTGCAAAGAAATGAACCGGTATTGTAGTCAACATGGACAAAGCAGAGATCATCATGCCAGCACAGTATGTTTTTCTTCTTCCAAATTTGTTGATGATGAACATCGACGCGTAGGCTATGAGGTCGATTACAGACAGGACAAGAGCATTGATGAAGATATCTCCATCTAGGGAACCCTGATTTAGTGTAAGACCATACCACGAAATTGCGACTGTAATCCTAAAATATAACAATGCGTTAGCATCATAACTCACAAGTATTTATTCTCCGAAATATGTCTTAAATTAACTTAGTAGAGTGAAATGTCACTGTATATGTGGAACATGTAGGTGTGACCAATCCAAAATCTTTCAAATTCACACCGAATGACTGATTTCGCTTCACTGACAATATATACAGTTTAAACCATCAGTAACGTACCATTTTTTCTATTCAAAAGGCGCAAAATGGTCTCATACCAGCCGAAAATCATCACTGCTGTCCTCGCCATAAGTCTTGGTGCGTGAGAAATTTTAAGTGGACTTAAAGAGGGGGTTATTTGCAAAGAATGTTCATTGAATAGCTGGCCGACTTCTGGAATCGCCTTTTTATTCACTCTTGCCGCCCATTTCACTATGTCCTCAGCTTCTGCGTATCTACCCCGAGATAACAGCCAACGAGGTGACTCCGGGATTACCCTGGAAGTCAGAATACTTCCTAAAATTTCTAAAACATAAATATACATCATTCAATGCATGCATGGTTGCATGTAAACATGCTTGCGTTCCAATAAATTTTACAGGAAAATACCAATACACGCTCATTTGTTTTGCTAGCATAAAAAATCACAGTACGTTAAGAAAGAGATAAACAGAAGCTACCACCAGAAGCCTAGGTATAAGAATGGTGGCAAGGCCACAGCCAACTGTAGATATTTCCAGTCTCGTATAAGGTAAGCCACAGGAGTTGTAAGCACCATGCCTATTCCCCAGGACATAGCTAATGTGCACACGGATACCAAGCGTCTTCTTGGTGATACAAATTCCATGCCTGCAAATGTGACATGTTATTGTATCATTGGCATTTCGATAAAAATAGCAGATTGGGGAATATCCTAATAGTGAATCTTTAAAAAGTTTCCATACGACAAGGGGATAAAGGTTATGGCCAATAACACAGCCGTGTACGCTACCTACCTGCAGTTTCATACACATATCCACTTGTGAAATAGTACACTTATTCAACGTGAAAAATTTTTCACAGGTTTATTTTTAAGTGAAAAAAAGTATCTGTACACATCATTAAACAATAAATAAATAAATAAATAAATATATATATATATATATATATATATATATATATATATATATATATATATATATATATGGGTGTGTGTGTGTTGTCTCGTGCCCACTTACTCAGAACCACGACCGAGTTGTTAAGAATGCCGTGACAGCTGCCCACGAAGACACGGAATGCAACATAAGCCCCGTAGTTAGGTGAGAAAGCGGCTCCCAATCCTCCCACGCCATGTATCAAACAGGCAATGAAAGATACCCACTTGCGGCCAATACTGTAAACAGAAAAAGTAAAAAGGTGTATCCCTATTATGGAGTCTAAATATATCACTAAACCTAGTCAACTATTTAAATAAATTCTGTGAAAACAATAAAGTGAAGTATTCATCTTTTTAAATATAATTAATACCGATAGGGAAATAAACAAACCGGTAGAAAAGAATGTTTAGCATAATTTTAAAAATATCTGTTTTGAAACTAGTTCTTTTATAAAAGAAGTAAACAACCTTAGTTTTCAATATTTGGTAACAGCTACCAGTACTGTTAACACAGTTTCTTCCGTGGGCTACCGTTACTGTATATGTCAGTGGCATGCACAAGAGTGGTTAGATCTTTGGGAATATTTTACCGGCTTTTTGTAGTCAACCAAAAATGGGATATTACTAACTGACATAAAGTATTTGATAAATGCTTGTTAAATGTTTCGTAAAATTTAATGCCTGGGGGATGGACATCATTCTTTTTAGTATGTTCATTAAAACAACTTATCATTTTTTTAGGTTGGCAAACTTTTCAACATTAAAATTTCAACAACAAAATTTATGCGTGAATTTAAATTAATTTAAAAATTTAAGGAAGTGCCCCTTTCAATTATTTTGATTTTTCATCTGTGACAACTATTTTATGACACACATTTGAGCGGTTGATAAATTCCTAATGCCTAAAATATCACTAAAAAAAAGAGATAATATCCCGTTGGTTGAGAAAAAAGAACCCAATATCTTATGTGAGCAGAAAATGTTGGTATGATAATTATTCGTCTCCGAGAGCCCATTCAGAACAGTATATCCGTAGATCTACTGTTCCACGGATCAAATATGGCGGATCCTACGGGAAGGAGGCAAGTAATCCGCTATTGGTATCCCCGCCTCCATACGCGCCATTAAACGGATTAAATCACGGCTCCGAGATTTAATTGCCAGCTCCCTGCAATGCGGCCCCCAAGTTTATTTGAACAATGTCCTATGATTATTAAGGCAAATATAAATTGACTGATCTAAAAGGTCCAAAATAGTGTAGCTGATTTCATTGAATATTGACACCCTATATGTACTTAAATAAATTACCAAAGGGCATTCTTACAAGTCTGCTGCTAAACCACCGACAATGGCCCCCACGGCCACTCCTGCTAGATAGACCACGTTTACCATATTTATTAGCAAGGAACTGTCACAAAATAGGCCAAACTGAAAATAAAAAACAGAGATTATCCATTCATCTCAAATCAATTCAATTAATTTCTGGATCAATTTCAATTAATATGTTATGGCCTTGTACACCGCATATACACTTATACAGGTATTAAGTTTTTTAATTGGTACCCAATGCAAGTACCGGTATTTAATTTCTTTTTGAAATAAATCTCCCGCCCTGTTTTCATGGTTTAGATGGATGTTTACCTTTTCAAAGGCTGTTATGATTTCTTATTGTGATTTCTCATTGTATCAACACAAGTTGTTTTTCTGTCACATCTTGGATTAAGCATGTTGTACGTAGATTCCCATTTCAACTTTTTGAACTTGGCTTTGGCATTGTTATGCATAATAAACCCGTGCCAAATTATTTTATAGATTCTGTGTCATACAGTGTAGAACAAAATCACAGCTTAGCACGGTATATTACAACAATAAACCAATGAACTACACACTTCTGTAGGAAACGTTCTCGGGAATACAGATGTATCATAAACCCAGTCCTTGCACGGCAACACACTACCATTCCCGGAATCATTTCCACTACGCCACAGACATCCCTCATACTCCCCATTCTCGTCAACAGGAATGGTTTGGTTGATAAGATGTTGGTGCCAGGTACCCTGGATTCCAAAGGTGTCATTTGCCAGGTCTGGAATGGCGCACCTAAAAACATGAATTGTTAATCGGCGTACATTATACGTTTTATAAAATGCGTATCCTAGACGTATTCACTTTTTCATATAGTTTGTTGAGATATTACAAATCTCATTATAAGTCTTGAATTAAATATTGGCTATGATTGCACTGTTAAGTTAAAAAATGAATTATTACGATATATTTTAACAATGAAAAAAAAAAAAAAACGAAATAGTTTCGAACCAGTATGAAATGTTTGATAACAACCGTGATGATTCTAGTCAAGACGGAGTCCTCCCCATTTGCTTCTATGTTGGCATCTCATGTGGGCCCGATTTTAACATCAACAAAAACAGCATTCCTGACAGCTTGGGGATTATTTGACATACCTGTAAATTTGGCTTCATTCTGTAACTTATGAGGTCATCGGAAGTTTTATATGTGTTACGATAAGCAACACCATGTCTAAAGCGACAAGAAATCTATGAACCTATGAACTACATCAATAAACCCTATCGCGAAGATCAAGTCTGTGTAAACAAAGTTTGCAGATAGCACTGTGAAACGCACAGCTGAAGAAAATTTTCACTGTTCGTCCCATCATCAATACCCACTGCTATTCTTCCAATTTTATGGGCATTAATTTCGTCGAAAACTTTACAGGTAATAGATCAAAACAACCATGTACAGGGGAAAAACATACATAAACGCCCTTTTTAAAGTAGGCCTAGATATATTCATAGTTGTTAGACAATAGAGCAAGCCACATCTTTTTTGAGCATATGAAAAGGCTCAGCTAAAACCAATGTCATTTGACAAGTATTTTACCTATGCGTCGGTAATTGCTGCATGAAGACTGTTACCATCATTTGCATGGCTGTCGACATTGTCACTAGACCACTAAATATTGTTGTTCGAAGCTGAATCCTGCCAAATTCTCCAACGCGTCGGACCACATCATCAAATTCCATCACTAGCCGTTTGTCTGCTGATTAATCCGTGTGTGTCAACGTTTCAGCTGCGACGAAATACTTGACACTGGTTGTTGTACGTCCGATGTCATTCACGCATATAAGATAAATTGAAGGAAGTTAAATAAGCTCATAGGTTGGTGTCCGTTGTTTATTCCCGATGCAATTTTATTAAATAGTTTAAGAACGATGTAATAGAGTTCGTACATGAAACTCATACGGAACATATGGTTTTTAATTTTTCAGCTCACTAGGTTAAATACGCAAAAAAAAAAAAAAAAAAAACTCCAAACTTAGTATTTTCAAGTATACAAAGACCAATAATTTATAGCTAGACTTACAATAAAGTGTAAGTATTAGAAAACAAATAATTCTGTCGTTCAGTTTTTCACTGTGTGAATTAATTAAGTGTCAGTTTACCACCCGCTCTTATCTCGTTAGGAGTCACCGTAAAGTACTGGGTCTCTGTACAGTTGCATCTTCACTGTTTACCTGTATGCTTATGTCAGCACGTGTGTTTAAACACTAACATCGATCAATGTTCGTTTGGACTCTGAGTCCCTCCAAATAATTGACAATAACTGGCCTAGTTGTTGCGGGTTATCAGTGTCGTATACATGCATATAGTAATATGAAATAAAAGTAAAAAATAATCGAATAATCACATGGCGAGATAAATAGAATAAAATAATCAAAATGCATATGACGTATCATAAAAACAGTGGCGTTCAGTTGCAGTTAAATTGTATAACGCAACTCTCTTGTGCTACCTTCTGCGATCAACAGTAGGTGAATTAATGAATTAATTGAAATCTAGCCTCTTCTTCTTGTGTTTTGGGTTGAATATTTCTGTATAGAGTATTATAGGCAGCCAAGGCATTTAATATTTTATCCAGTAATGGTCGTATTGAAGCTTATGCCTATTTGTAAAGAAATTCTTATTATACCAAGGAAGCGCTTGTATAAATATAAATGAGTTACCACCCATTATCGAAAATCATTATCGAAAATCCGTTAAAATGTACGGTTCAGTTTGTTCCCATTCTTTCTTTCCACATTTCTTTAAAATTTTGATATAGAACATATCAGGCCTCACTGATCCAAAGGAACAAAATTGCTACAAAACCAGTACACATCATTTTGTGGTTGTCGGACTTAAGAAACCATTTCCAATGTCGATGGGGCATTCTCACTTGAGTTTTTGTTGATGTCCGACTTCCTCCTGAAATAAACATATCCGTTTTTAACATCGATGTTACGTTATTTTGCTATTACAATCTACTTACAAAACTGTATTAGAAGTAGCTATAGCACTTGAAATATTGAGCAAAATTCTTCTCTTTTATGTAGGGACAAAGTGTAACACTTTTGTTTTGAAGTCTCCATAAAGTGACTGTGTAGTCGTATGCATGCGCACGCGTGTGCATTAGTGTTTGTTTGTGTGTGTGAGAGAGAGAGAGAGAGAGAGAGAGAGAGAGAGAGAGATGAAGCAAGAGAGAGGGGGCGAGCCAAACAATGGGGAGTGAATGAGAGAGTTATATATAGATACAAACCGTTTAACTCCAAAGTTCTCGGCATCCTCCAAAGTCTCCGGCAGGTGTTTATGGGCTGTTTCGGGAAGATACAGACCGCTCAATGAGGAAACCAATGTCATACAGCCAAACAGCATCATTGGAATAGTGTTACCGAGGTAAGGGTGTTCTCTTAGCTGGTCCTACCAAGAGTTCAAGGTTTCAATTAACGCTAGTATAAGATGATCATGTTCAATGTAGACCACATTCAACATACAGTAGGTATCAAACCAAATACTAAATTGCAAAATGAAAGACTATAACAGAGAAAACCGATGGCGACAGATGCTTCTCCATTACTTAACTTAATATTAGAACTGCTATTTTTTACTTGAAAAAAAATAAAAAAAAATAACAACCGCTGCCGTCAAAAGGTGTTTGCAAGTTTAACAATATCTGATTTTGTTTATTTTTAAATATTATTTTTAAATTTTATTAAAATACAATATTAATGAATAAATAAAATGAAATAAAATAGAGCAAAGAACAGAAAAGACAAAAATGTTGCGTATTTAACCAAAAGCCCTTAACAGGACATTACTATTAAAAAGATTAACAAATTGGGATGGAGGGGGGGGGGGTGCCGGGTCGAGACAATGCGTACACTGTAAAAGGGGAGAAAACTTATGAAGACACTGCCTGTTCGTGATTGAAAGGGTTATCTGTAACTGAGCTTCCTGTATGATAGACCTGACAAAGTAACAAAGAATAAACAGCATACCATCACAATCGGTGAAATCACTGCCCCAAGACGACCAAATGCACATCCCATACCAAGCCCAAAGTTTCGCAAGGCTGTTGGATAGAACTCTCCATTCCACATGAAAAGAAGGTTGAAGCTACAACTGACGCCTAGTTTTCCAATTGTGTACAAAGTTGTAAAGGTGGTACTGGTTGTGGAACTGTCTGGAACGCAAGAGGCAAAGTTAACACTTACAGGTACATTCAAGCACACAAGTGTTGATACTACTGGTATATGCCAATTGCCACTTATATATTAGGACTGTCTAATTGTGCTGACAAAGTTAACACATCTCAGTTAAACTGGACTGTGATACACAACAAATTAACGAGTTGCACTGTTAATGCAGGTAAATGACCAATGGATCAATATTGGCTAAAATATTACTGATGTACGTTAAAAATAATTAACTTTAGACAGAAATTAGTAAAATAGACAAGTAATATTGCAAGAGTTAACCCGGTAGAACAAGAAAAGAGAGTATCACGGGTGAATATGCGAAAATTAAGGTATTTGGTCCCCTCGCTTAAATACTCAACACAATTTGTAGGCCTATCTTATTTTTTCTACATTTTCTACATCTTCATATACCCTTGTTTGCAAAGAAATGCATCAGTATAGTCGACAACATAGCCAATGCAGATATCATCATGGCAGCACAGAAGGTTTTTTTTCTTCCAATTATATTGATGATCAGCAACGAGAAGGCGGCGATAAAATCGATTAGAGCCAAAACGAGAGCATTGATGAAGATGTCACCGTCTAAGGAACCTTGATTCAGCGTTAGGCCATACCATGACACACCAACGGTTAGCCTATAAGAGAACATACAAGAAAAACAAAGTAAACGCTATATATTTTAACCACGATGAGTTTGATGATCATTTAACACCCAGACCCAATATAGAGGTGCATTTCACAAGCTGAAATGTCACAAGTCTAAGATAATCAGAAATTTAAAACTAATGAATTCAAAGTTGTATTTAATCATTTAAAACGTGTGAGTGTACAGAACAAAAATTCACATGTATAATCTGTCGTGGTCTATTATTATGGACAAGTAAGAAGCAATAAAGGGAAATTTTTGTAACGTATGTTCCGGTAACGTGTGTTCCGGGACATACATTTAATTTTTTTTTGTATCGTGTTCCAATGTATGATATGGTGATTCCGTCATTGTAAATTGTAGCTGACGTAAGGATGCTTTTATAAAATTTCATCTCTAACTCTGGGGGTGGGGGGTGGTGGGCTTTGGTCATGGCTAAAACGAACGTAACGTACGTTCCCCTGAAAAATGTTCTAAAAAATTCATACCTGTCCAAACACTTAGTGGAAATGTAGTCAACAGAAACATCTTTCGTATGTAGTTTGACATTTCTGACATACATTTACACCACGAATTACAAATAGTTCATGTAATGCTTTTTTTTTTTACTGTCAGTGGGCTGCATGTTTTCATTTTATGATACCTAGTGACAAATAAACTAAAATCGCGGAAAAAACGCTCCATACAAGATTACCGTGTTATACTTGTAGGAAAGGAATTAAAGAACAAAACCAGTGCTGACTGAATTTTTTAAGTGAGCAAAACGCTTCCGCAGCCGAAGTTTTACGTTTGTGACAGAACCGTATGATCCTTACTTGGGTTAAGACGATGTATTATTTTTTATTATTCATGGTTCTAGGACAGTGAAACTTTGATACGAATTTTTTCATGTGAAGTGGCTTTACCAAACATAGGTTCTAATCTGTGCACTAAATACACTATTTTAAGTGCATGCCTGTGACCTTATTTGAACCTCTCTAGTGGGTTTGGGTGTAAAACGTAGGGTTATTTGGCTTTACATTTTAGGGAGATTTTATAGCTGTTATGCGTGTGTTAACTCATTTTTCATAGTTGTTTGTTGTTAGTCCATTCCATGGAACACTGTTCATTCATTTCAAAGTTATTTATTTGACCTTGTTTCTCTTATACAGATACACGGCACCCCTGTGTCCTCGGATATGTTTGTCAACTTTAAGCTATGATGCACGAATAGTTTTCATTTAATCGAGTCATTGCACGCCATGAAGATGAACTTTAGGAGTTCACATATGGAATAACTACATGTAGGTGAGAAGTCACAGTTAGGAGGTAGTTAGGAATTGGCCTTGGGCAGCGTGGGCTTGAAAATACTCTAAAACCAAATAATCTGACTAAACACCAACGTCACAAACTTGAAAATTAGGTTTAATAAACGGTGAAAAACAGTAAATTATTTATGATTGAATTTTATGAAGATATAAACATGTTAAACGAACTATTGATGATTACACCAAGAAATAGCAACATACCATGCAAATGATATAATCACCGTCCTCACGATAAGCTTCGGTGCTTTACGGAGTTTTAGAGGACTTAAAGTCGGTGTGCTTCGTAAAGAATGTTCGTCAAACAATTGTCCCTCAGGCAGAGCTGCTTTATTTACCTCAGCCACCCATCGCACCACGCTTTCGGCTTCCACGTATTTACCCCTTGAGATGAGCCAGCGAGGGGATTCTGGGATTATCCTGTAAAGTTATATATATATTCCGAAAGTAGAAAAAAAAAAAAAAAAAAAAA